GTAGGAGTATGCCTAGCGCTCACTGTAGGGTGGCTTTTGGCTCAGCTTGAGTTTTAGGAAAAACATCGGCAACTTCAATCGGACATGATGATGACGCCGACTTGTATAGGACACAAGGCAGCCTTCACCCACTAGGCTGAGGAATCACAGCAGCAGCAGTAGAAGAAGAATGACAGAGAGCAGGATAGATGTACCAAATACAGCAGATGAGTATTGGCCATCATTGAGGACTCCCGATTAGGTTCTGTTGTTCACTTGTGAATAGCTACGGTAGGGTACCAGATAGCAGTGATTGAGCTGGTGGTATAAACTGCACACGATTTGAAAGGTAGAAGATATCGCCCTTGTAGCTGTCAGTTCACTGTTTTCGGCGGCACAAAACATGTCTTCGCTGACCTGGTTGGCGTGTGGCGACTCTGCACAAGACGGCCGCGAGCTGCAGGGAGCTCGATTAATCATGGAGGGGGGTCGATACCAAACCGAATGGAGCCGCCCCCTTAGTTGTAGCTTAGATCATTGCGTAGGTAACATCGCCAGTAACCGTCAGCTATTCACATAAGGAGCTTGTATAGTATCGTAGCATACGTATATAAACGAGCGATTTTTCTGTAGCCACAAGCAAGTAAAACTTATACTTAGGCGTTGCAACCCCAACATTTCTAAGTATCTGCCTTTTTATTTCTTCATTTAAAGCTTCCCCTCAGACAAATTTCGAGCATTATCCCGCTGCCGATATTTTTCTTGTAGCTTTGTTACTCTTACGGCCCCTGATATAGAACTGTACTTTAAGCTTTTTGTAGGCAAAAACCACTGTCATTCGATCCATAATGTGTAGATTGTAAATCTTGCACGTTGCGCTGCTTCTTGTGCTTTTCAGTAGAACCGCCCGTTGAAGACGACCTTCCTCTGTTTATATGGTGTCTACTGATAGCGCCATTCTTTGATGTGCTTCAAGCGGATAATCATCATCATCGTTAGTTGTTTTTAAACGTAGGCCACTGAACAGAAGAACCAGAGAGTCCCTACCTCAATTAGCTTTTCTGTCACAGCACAAACAATCCAAATCAAAGGTTGTTGAGGAAAAAAGCCACAGGAGAGCAAGCGCTTAAAAGCTCAGATCTCTAGACCCAATTGACTAAATTTATGCATCTTCATCTCACTTTTCTATCCACGTATTTATGTTGATCTTGTCGTTATTCGACTGTTGGAGTAATTTTTGCTTTTTTATGATTTGTCTAATGATTGGCGTCCTCGACGTGATCCTTATGATAATGATCCACGTTCGGACAGTCCTACCGACCAAGCATCCTTAAAAGTTTCCTATAATGGCTTTATACGTATTGAACAAATGATGTAAGAATAGCTCTCTTAACCTTGCTATGGTACTGGAAGGTTACATTTATTAACGCGGCCATCGGGAATTACCATCGCTACCGGGTAAATTCTTCAATGTATTCTGGTCTGGAAAAGCATTCATGCCAATTCATTACACGCAGTCATGTTTTTACTGCAAGTAGTCCAAGTGGCACAAGTAGAGTTATATCGGATATTATTGAATTTGTGTAAAATAGCGAAGTTGGGGGAAATGCTCGTGATCTAAAGACGATATTGATTTATTACTATTTAAAGCCAAACTAACTCACTCTCCCGGCATTTCCGCTTACTTTTCAATTCAACAAAGTTGACAAACTTTGATATTTGTAGCCGTCTCTTTTAGACCGTGTCAAACAGACACCTTTTTTACCTTTAGAAATAATAAATTATTGCGTCCTATTGTGTCCCCCATTTTTAAGGGTGATGGTTCACTTAATTATAGCATTTAACATCCTAAGGGCACTTTTGAAAACACTGGTTGCTGTTCTATACCTAAATAAATTGTGAATATTGAGCGTTTTGTGTTGTCCTTTTTTAGAACTTCTCACTTTTTTTTGTAAGATTTACCCCAAAACAATGCAATTACGTTACAAAAAGTCGACGGAGACACGATAGGCGCACGTCAAGACAGACAAAAAGCGTTCCGTAGACGGAACAAGCAGACAATTTACCTTAGATCTAATTTAAACAGTCGACTCTGTTCCTTTTATTTTTTTCTCAAGTAGAAAACTCAAATTAGTGAACGAATGCTTTTGCTCTGGTTCGTAGTTTCTTTCTCCCAAGAGGCGTAAGGTTAATTTGCTTTTTTTTTTGAAATAGAAGACGAGATAGATGCAACAGGGTATCGAGAGTGCGGGACGAAACTCTAGAAGTATACGGTGTCTAGTTCGAATGAGTCTTAGACCGCTGTTTTGTATTCGGCCAACAACTAATCTAACATGCACAAGTGGAGTATAATTTTTTAAGTTTATATTGACGATTTTGGAGCCATTTGATGATTTTGGACGATTTGGGCCCAGTCATATCTTGACTGAGCGAACTAAGCGTAATTAATTAATTAATTGCACGCAGCAACAATGTTACTGAGGCATTCTAGTCGGAAAAAGCTGGATACTTCCAGCGGAATTACTAATGAGGCAAAGGAAGAGTCACTGGAAGACAAAAAATAACAAAATGGCTAATGCAAAGAAAAGTAATTACTGTTGCAAAGGCACCGCAGTATGAAGGCGCACTGATGAAGGTCCTAGGAGAACTAGAAGCAATTTGGTGTCTGCTTATTCATCTGATATCGAGTAGCCGAACAATGATCATATTAAATCAGGTGTCAGATATTGAATTAGATAGACTAAAATAAACAGAATGATGTTAAGGAATAGACAGGAATGGAAAGGAAAGTTAATGGAATATTTCAATGAGGCAATATATATTAATGTACAGTAATATTACGGCATGACGGTAACGGAGGCGTAAACTCTATTGGATGCCGTCAATCACTCAAACAAAGCAGTAGAATATTTGCACCAATGAAAAACAATCGTTGCAGCGATAGATAGATATTCGGGTGTATATACATACATATATATATCATATACTGACAAGGGAAACAGAGTTACTGCAACGGGGTAGCTGCAAAGAGGCAATCCAACTGATTCTGTAAGAGTTTAAAAAAATTTTACCGGATAGCTATAAGAACGTAGATCTGCAATAAAACTGTGCATTGAAATAAACGTAACGTGAATCGGGTTCATTTACGATAGAACGGGCTGATGCGGTAACTGCGAAATTGTAATGGTTTCATGGAGTGGAGAAATTGCAGTGGGATGATTCTTAGGGTTTGGCTATATTCCGCATTAAACTGCGTTAGAAATCAACGAATTAATGGCAAGAGGAGTGCGGAGAGAAGCTCGTTGGTAGTTTTTATCGTAATATTCATTTTTTAGCACATGCGTACTCGTTTATAGGGCAAGCCGGATGCAGGACCGCACAACCCACTGACGATAATCCAACTCAGATCTAGACTGCAAGCGGTACGAGGCTACCGATTATGGACATCGGCTTGAAAGACTGAGTTTTAAGATACGCATTATGCGTCTGATCATCTGGTCTACCACGCGCCTACTATGATACCTTGCTACTCCACCTTCAAGCTGCGTATTCAAGGGAAAGCTTTGTCTACAAAAAAAGCTCGACAGTTTCTTTTCAACACAAGAACAGGTTTCACGCATTTCCCATACTGAGAGGCCAAATTAAAGCAAAGCTTAATCCGACAGCCCCCTAAAGAACGGCCCTTTATGAACGATGACGATAAAAGCAATGGAGAACGACCTCTACGTCCCGAGTCTTACGTCCGGTGACGCCGTTAAACCTTCCATGAGACAGACGGCTGGCTCCCAGCACGAAACAAAGATTGTCTATGCTCGGCTTCGAACCCATACCACAACCTGTCCCTGAAATTAGCAGGTAGATACGTTACCCGCTTAACTACCTAATTGAAAATGATCTGATAGAAACAAGATTTTGTGTGCCGTCAAGTATCAAAATGCATAAGAACCTGAATTTTACGATTTCAAATATTAATCTGACCTAGATTTGCTATTCACGAATTCATGTATGCTTTCTATGTTCATCGCCGTGTACTACGATAAGTCGAACGAATCCATTGGTAGTATTTCTCTCGCGGCAATGCAGCCCATACGCAGCAGTCAGTGAACATCAGAATCTCGCAGCGTAAAGCCAATTTTATTTTTCCTTTATTTGTTGCCGCTATCTACGACTGATGCTACGGTTTTTTTTCTCGTAGACCCTGAACCGATATTTGTTGTTTTTCCATTGCATACAGAGAACGTTGACGACGCTTGACGGTGTGCTGAAAGCAAACGAGTTGCTATATAATCGTCATCACCATCACCATCGCCAGCACCATTATCATCACCATTATAGACATCCTGACCGGCAGCAATAATAATAATGACAACAACAACATACATGCGCCATCTTCGCATGCAACATCAGATGCAGGCGCCGGCAGGAGCGGTTTGGTTGGGACTTGTACCTCGGTGGTTCGCTTCCCTCTGACTCGGCCAGCCGCTAAAAAACACCTCTGAACGGAGCGGACGCTTGCTCAGCTGTCGGCAGACGACGGTGGCCCGACGCCTGGCCGCCGACAGCACCGCATAGCACACCGCCACTACCGAAGCTGGCCAATATGGCAGACATCAATGTCGCCGCCGCCGCCGCCGCCGCCGCCGCTGCCGTAGCGCCATTCCATCTTGGCCAGTTGTCTATCCCTGTACCTAAAGTTAGCGCTTCTCCTGGCGGCTGCAGTTGTCCCTGTGCTCCTGCCGCCACTTGGCTTCGTAACCGTGTCTGGTCGCGTTGTCCGTTCCGGCCCTGTGGAGTCTTTTGGGATTGCTTCGGTTGCGCTACGACGGTAGCCCTTTGCGGCCACGGGAGGCGGAGTCCGTGTGCTTCCATAGCGATTTGTGTCTGCCAGTCGCTTAGCTCCGCCCTCGTAAGACTCCTCGCCGCGAGCAGGCGGGGCCTTTTGGGCTGGTCTGGCTTAACAGGCCTATCTACAGGACACTTGCCTGATTCTGCCGTGAGGCTGCGGCCGAACGTCTGTCTGAGAGACAGTCAGACATTGTGAACGCTAACGAGACAAGCCCACAAGTAAGAGCATCGTCATAACAGAGAACGAGGAAGGGCTTTGAGAGCTCAGTTAAATGCTTGCCAACTCCTTGACGTGAAGCTAGGAACGAGTGTGGGCGCGTACAAACAAAATATCTGTGATAGTTACCATATTTACAAGTGGTGACATGAGTGCTTATTTGCCTGGACAAGTGAAAATTAGAGCCTAATTAGAACGAATCATATTCTACTGTGTCGTTGTTGAAAGCGTGTGCGCCGGCTGAAAAAGATACGAAATAGTTTTCAATCTACTTTGAACTTGCCGATGCTGTACACAGGTGCAGTTGACGGGCCACGATTTCTGTCACCTTGTGCGTATAGTTCAATAAGTGGCACAGCTGTGAGCGGAACATAACTTCAATTGGATGTACATGCCATTGTGTAAAACACGGATTTCTCAACGTCCACCGCATCAAGTAAGACAAGTATCCAAACATCTTATACAATAATATTGAACATATGCCGATGTTCTCATTGGATAGCCAGTTGCTTTACAACGTCCTGTATACACACCTGTCATACAGCGTACCTTTTCATTTCGAAAGTACTCGAAACACACATAAGAAATAAATAACCCGATCAGCAGAAAATGACGAACGGCGAGTTCTATTGAAATGTATGCTATGATTCGTTGAGTCACAGTTCCCATCCGATAGCTCCGAAGACGTGGCCAAATAAGCGTACGGACCACGCCGAGCTTCCCACTCGAGTAGAGTCAAATATGATAAGCAAAGTGCGTTCGACCTTCGCTGCGATCTATTGAGATTTGTTTTGATCCTATTATTTTAATATTACTTACTCGGCTACGTCTTGACGCAAACGAGTATGCAAAGCTTATAGCGCCGCTACCAAACGTCTCCCCTACTGTCATCACTTCAGCCTTATTATTGCTATACGATTGTCCACTGTTTCCTCTCTGTGTGTCGGTCTAGAGGTATTTCTCATGAATTTCCAGCGGCGATTCTATTCAAAACTAGCTCAACTAATCCAGCGGTTCTATTTTTCTGTAGATCAGTTGATTTATTCTGCGCTCATTGCATCTTTGTGACATCGACCTGTGTTACTTTAATTATGACCCTAATTGTACTACTTGACTCAACAAATATGATTCCGCCGTTGATCTCCATTAGCCATTGCAGGGGGCTGAGATGTTCCGCGCAGTTTGTTTTCTGAACGATGCCATAAGTAGTACCAGCCGGCAACTTCTTCACTAAGTGGCTGTTATTCTTACTGGTGCTGCTTATTTCGTATGCTTTAGCCCGTATCGTCAGTCTCAGTTCTTATAGCTACTAAAGTCTAATAGATCAGACAGCTCTGCTGAACGCATATGTTTTCAGCATGACGGCGATTAGGTTCTTAGCTGCTGCGGCCTTTTTCAAACCGCGCCATCTTCCGTTGCAGTCGCCGCCGCCGCCGCCGCCTTTACGCTGAACCGACTTCGTACGTTCAGAGGCGCCTGCTCCGCTCGGATCGCTCTAGCCGGCCGGCCGACCGACCGTGTCAGTTGCTCTGACTACTTCGCACATCTAAGCGCTTTTCCGTAGACACGATTTTTTTCGGCTCTTTCTGTGTGCCTCTAACACAAGCGGTAGACGCACCGAGAGGTGCCTCAGATCAATATAATTCATTGTCATTATTATTTTAGATCTGCCCCGCTTTTTGCGGCTAGGCCTAGCTAAGCGCAAGTTGGCCTATTAGCCTTCTGGTGGATTGCTAACGCATCAAATCCATTAGTATTAGCATAATGCAATGATGGCAATCGATTAGAGCGCCCGCGCGAGCTGTCTTACTCAAACTAGGCTTCACAAGGGTCCGTTTAGTAGACATTAATAATGCTAATAGTCGTAATCGTCTAGGGCTGGCTATTGATTGACGAAATACGTCTACGCTTACGCTAACAGACATATTCCTTTTGTTTTCAGTGGTTATCAACGAGGACCACCCTCTAACTCTGAGCAACCCGTTACGGGTTCCACCGGCCGCCGACGGCGGTGGGATAGAAACTCCCCCGCATCTACTCCCCCATTCGCAACTATTCGGGCAACATCCCTTACTTCACCCAAACCCAATGTTCAATCCACTTGCATTGGTCAGTGGCCATTATCCAGTTGGAGCAAAGTCTCCGGAGTGTATCGATCAGAACATGTCATCATCACCTGCTCGTTACCCCTCATCGCCGACGCAATCTCCCGCCCTTCCAGCGTTTCCGCCACATGCAGGGTTTTCCCCTGCTGAGGACAAAGCCCCCTTCGGCCGAGATTTCTCTCCTCCCCCTGGCGATGGTTCACAAGGCCAGCTAGGAAACCAAAGTGTTAGTCAAATAAGTAGTTACCAGGGAGGTGACCGCTACTCGCCACCTCCTGAAAGTACTGGCCCTTGTCCGACGTACGGCGATCAGAAGCCTCCCTACTCGTACATATCGCTTACGTTTATGGCTATACAGTCATCAAAGGAAAAGATGCTTACACTTAACGAAATCTATAAATTCATAATGGATCGGTTTCCTTATTATCGCAAAAACACGCAGAGGTGGCAGAACTCGCTTCGCCACAATCTGTCCTTCAACGATTGCTTTATCAAGATACCGCGTCGTCCCGATCGACCTGGAAAAGGCTCCTATTGGGCACTGCATCCATCGTGTGGTGATATGTTCGAAAACGGTAGCTTCCTGAGACGCCGGAAGAGGTTTAAGCTGAACCGTCATGTCAAAGACGCCACAGCAATGGCAATCGCCGAACTTAAGCATTACGAGAATATGTGTAACCAACAACAACAGCAGCAGCAGCAGCATCAGCAGCAACAGAACGCGTTACAGGAGCAGACAAAATTTCGATTAAATGCTCTTGCGGTAGCGAAAACACATCTCGTCCCACATTCCAATGGTCCCCGGCCATCGGTGTCTCCTCCCTCCGCGGCCCAAACCCTTCTCCAAGCGCACACCTCGCCATCGGCACCACTGCAAAGATCTCAAAACAAACAATCGTTTTCTATCGACAACATCATTGGCGGAGGCGGTGGAGGTGGCAGTGATCGCTCTGCTGCCAGTTCACCCCCCACGCCAGTTGCTCAAGCATCGGCGCCGCCTGTCTTACAACAGTTTCCTCAAGGTTACCCCCAGTTGGCAGGCGTAGCACCCCAGTACCATGCCCAGCTGGCGCAGTTACAGGAGTTCAACTCTTTGCTAGCCCGCTTGCCTGCATTCCCGGGCGCTCCCCTGGGGGCATTCAACCCCGCTCTGGCACAGCAGGCGCTCGTTATGAGTCAATTGGCCGCTGCTGCTAACGCCGACTTTCTGCGCAAGTACGCCGAGGCAGCAGCTGTGGCCGCGCAGGCAAGCCTGGCAGCCGAGGATCTCTCGCGCCCGGCCAGTCCGAGCGCCAGCAAAGCCAGCGACCGTGAGGATGAAGGCCATGAGGACAATAATGACGATGATCTCGATGTCGTATCTTCCGAGGACCACTCGAAGAACTGCTGAAAATAGATGGATACGGAATATTTAGTCAAGCTGAGCAAGACTCATTAACTGAATTACCCCAGCTGCTCGATATTGCAAGTTTCATGCACGTGTCAATGATGTCTCTACCTATTGGCTGACTGAATCGCCGGCAACAGCAATGGCCTTCCAAGACAGACTATTACTTGCGAGCGAGTAGTAGGCACTATCTTAAGGAGGTTGGTAGGCCATGTTGACAAAAAATACTCAGCATGCGATGTGATACAGCCGAGATGAGCCGCGAAGCGCGGCGTTTGCTTTGTACATAGATTTGTATAGCGCCATTAGTCATAAAAAATAGGAAGACAACGAAAAGACCTACAGACGACACAAACAGCATCCTATAGCAAGTGCGTGCAGTTTCTAGAACGTAAAACAGAATACAAAAACTAGTTTACGCTAACTGTATGACCGAACGGGCGGGAGAATAGGAAATGGGGAGATGGTAGGCTACGAGTATGCGAGCTGGTAGAATGATTTGTGTTACAGTTTGATTGTGTATTTATTACAACGAAAATTCTGATGGTGATGATAAAGGTAACGAGGGAGGAAAGAATTCCTAAGTTTTTCTACACTGAGTATTTATCTTTCGATTCATTTGCGTGCTAATATCACTCGGGCTCAGTCTCAGAAATAGTAATCCTCGTGTATATACAAACGAATAGACGGCCGAAACATGTAAAGGTACCCTGATCAAGGCATGATCATGTAGAGGGCGTAAAGGAAAACTGTAAATTATAAACCAGAGATTTGAAGTCGCCGAACTGGACGGCATGTAGACAAAATGAATAGATGCCCGAGCCCGCACAAAAGGGAAAGTGCATCATACAACGTTCCTTAATAAATGTCGAGTCTAAACAGTAAAGCTATCCGAGCGAATCTTTCTTCTTTATTATTATTATTATATGATTATTCTATAACTTTTTAGGCCAATGCATCAGGTGTCAGTAAACTAACGTTAACCCTTATCCTCCTGTCACTTGGTTTAAGTAAGTTTAGATAGTTGATGATGGTGAATTTACTCCTAGCGGCTTCTAGGATACGTATCCTTAATTTCGATTCGCTGCCGTCGTACTGTACGCAATCTGCCTTGAAAATTTGCCCATAATTAGAAAGCTCTTCTGATAAACATTACACTCCTGTGCCGTTAGGGTAGACGTTGATCTAACGATATGACTACTTGATAAATACTCCTATTGTGCAATTTGGATAAAAGCGCACACTTCGCAGGCTTAAGTGTTCTTCACGAGACGCGATGACGACTATCTCTAAACGTATTTTTAAAGTATTTGTTTAACTATATGCTATCAGCTTCACATGTATGTGCTATAGTTTTTAATAAGGCATATACGTTTTCTACCTATGAAACATACGTGTTGTTGAAATTGTGCTTCGCTGAGTGCAATCAAATATTTGCCTAGAGGAATGCGTGTATCGTCATCCACTTTAACAACAATAATGTTAATGGACACTGGGGCTCCATCGAAATCGTAGGCTCATTTATCAGGCTTAGAAGTCGAATTGCCGCCCTTCGGATTAGTACCAGCGCCGCCTTGTCGTCGTCGTGCGACGCCGCTGTCGATGTAGAAAAGACCGAGAAGAAGCTAGCGAACGTTTTGGCTTTTCTTTTTGTAGAAATTAGACACACTCGCATTCAGTAGGAGAGCCGAAGGGAGATGCATTTGCGACAAGAGAGCGTCGCTACACTGGCGATGTAACAACATCTAGCATCAAATATTCACTTTTCTACGTTTAGCGAAAAAGTTGTTCTCGGTCATGATAATAGTCAATGGCAACCGTTGACTTAGCCGCTAAACTCTGATCGACTGAAGGCCAGCACACGCATGCAATGTCCATTGCAAGAACGACGGCGAAACTTGTTACCAAAGGCCGGACGATAGTTCAACCGACGACGATTTGTCTTAGTTCCTCAATAAATTTGCTTATCCCTCTCTGGCAGTCCACGGAATCCGAAGCAAATCGTGTTACACACTTGAATATATAATTGGATTGTAAGCTATAGAGAAAGGAGAGGAATAGGCTGACAGGTATGGCTTTCGCGTAGACTGAGGTAACGCAACTTGCCTCACATGGCTTTTTATTGCATTGAACCCGAATCTACGTCCTAGACAGTATTCGTTGCAAGCGCGCACCGTCAGTGCAGTACCTCACTACAGTAGAACAAAAGGGTAGCGTCCATCAAGTATGAACGATGGGATGTTGGACGGAGTATTTATGGTGGTATTGCTTGTTAAACCCAAAACGTTTTCAAATACAAACAGTACAAAGATCCTATGCTGTCTGTCTCCTCTTATCTGTTAGCACCTTCCGATTAAAGCACACTAACTTATTTTCTAACGTAAATTTCTATCTAGCTACCGTTAAGCTATATTTATCGAAGACTTAATGAAGCATCGCTGAAAAATTCTACCTTACGATCCTATCAACTTTAATTCTACATGTAGTTCTCTTTTTACAGGAGGCTAATTTTCTTTCACCATCCCGCAGACTCGGCAGTCAACGACGATAAGCACGCTACTGAACTTTTGTATGGAAAAGATGATTTCGAGTACTCAGTGTGGGTGTTGTGCACTAACAATCGCTTTGAAAGAGTGTACCAATGGAATTTCGTCCATATTTCGAGCTGCTAATGCTTGAAAGTTTGTAAAGATTTAAAAACCGTCTTCAAAAACGTCTCGCTATACATGATGTAGCCAGCCGATGGATGGCCGAAGTAAAGTGCCCGCTTGATGCAATATCTATTTAATTGTTATAATGCGACTGTAGCTGACTCTAAAATAAACAGTCTATTGTATGTGTTTGAGATGGCAAATTTATGCTTAACGAAAGCGAGCAAAATCCGTTAGGTTTGTTTTTTGCCCTAGAATGGTTCAAAATGTATGTAACAAAAATACCTAGCGTAATGGGTAGAGATGCTCGTACTTTCCTGCAACGATTTTTGAATCCAAATCTGTTCCAAAACCAAAAAAAGTTTTATCAGTACTAACATCTTCATTTTTCTTATGGAAAATAGTTACTTTACACAGGTCATATTCGTATATAAACCATTCCTTAAATTCAATCGAATAAAACTCGACCAAATCTCCGTAATGCTGTTCAAATAACGAAAGATCGGTTCTATAATGTCATTTTAAGTCAAATCTGCACGAAATTAGAGCATTAAATGTAAGGACTAGACCAGACCATAGGAAAGAATAAACAATACTGCTCTTTCAGTAGCGATAGAAGTTGCTTACTGTTATTCATTGTATGCTGAATTCGCGCAAAGCTATCGCTCTTGCTGCTCCAGATGTGACTTTTATTTGAACGAACTTTGAAACTAGCGGGGTGCTGGCATCGGGGACATGGTTCTACTCGTGCGCACCCCTAACATTTAGACCACGACTACTGCAGCGGAAGACTACGGTGAGTCGCTAAGTACGTGGTTCTATGCTTCGAGTCCTTTCAATTTTTTCCTGGTCTCGTTGTTAAAGCGCGTTGATCCCTCTCCGTAGTGTAGTCCTGATAAGGCTTTAACGGAACTTCCGTGGCCATCGTGAAACAGACCAGCTACCATTTGATTAGTTTAGAATACATAAACAAATCAACATGCATTAATCACCTATCAAGGCCTAGTACCGCAAATAAAGGGATAATGTATCGTACAGATGAAATTATAGCACGATAAATTCTGATTAGTGACTTGACAACGGAGTTGGATCATTTTTTCGTACCCTTCATACGATTTAGCAAACTAGATTAGAACGAGAGTTTGTCGACATTTTCATATTTTTCCAATGCAGCATTTGATATATATACTCTAAATGTTGTTTCCAACATAGACCTTCTTGGATGGCTGACAAACAAAAAGAACAAAGAAGGCTTAGCTTTGTCAGGTCAGGAAGTTTGAGCGACATTATATTGTACGCTAAGAAAGATAGAAATGTACGTTAGCGGCTATGAAACAGAACAAGATTACGGGTTCGACCTTGTACCACAGGTGAGAACGAGTTTTGCGACGCAATGCAAAGGAAAACGTTTCATATCATATGATCCATGTACATATTAAGTCGAAAAATAGCTTGAACAGTAAAAAACTGCTTAGCGGGTCTTTATTATTAACCCAGAACGTCTTTGCGATATCGGCTCAACTAAAATGTGTACACAGTCTTGTTATTCTGCCAAACGGTAACGCCTCTTTCGGAAGAAGCAGTCCCAATATACTTATTAGGGACTTCACGCAGCCGTCAGATATTGAGTAATTTTCTATTTAGAAGTCGTCCGTCCCCTTGACTCTTGCTGCCATCGACGTCGAGGCTGTGGTCACCAAACCCACGCACACACTGGCGCTCTAGCTAATGCTGCTTCTTTGCCCAGCAGACAACTGACCTGGTGACAGCAGTTTTTTCTCAACAAAGAAATCAAATACTAATATTGATATTTTGCGTTTCAACTTGGATCTCTTTTGGTGTAGTAGCAGGGCGAAGGCGAAGATTTGACGTCTAACGCACGTATCCAAAGTTCTACGGATGGATTTCGCTGGAAATACTTAGTTGAAAGGGATACGTAAAGATAGAGGAAACCCCAAACGAATATATATCACGACCAGTACTGCTATACAGTGTAATATGGCTGTCATTAGTCTTGTTGCAGTCGATACCAAATTTAACTTACCGCTGTTATTTCCAGCTGGCATGATGACCATATTTTTGTTTTCTGTTTTGTCATTATATATACATGCATGAAGTGCCTGATCTTGAACTTAGCGTTACGGCTGAAGCAACTACAGTATATTCATAGTAACTATTCACACGTGCGAACTGCTGAACGGAGGGTCCGAGAGATTTTGATGAGAACGCGACAATATCACTTTTGACGGTTGATGACCGTTACTGACTGTAATACAGTTGTAACTGTGTATTTGTGCTACGTTAAACCAATTGTATCAGTACGATAGAGCTGCGTTTATATATTGTTGTACTTTTATTTATTTTTCTTTTTTAGTTTTTGTTTAGCCAGATATTCATCTGGCTAAACTAAAATCGAACCTAGATGTAGTTAGTATTTTAGCTAGCCTAATAGAAAACTAGTCAAAGTTCGAAAAACTTAATTGAATAAGGGTTTTTGTCTGAGCGTCGATCTGTGTTCATTTCTGTTATGGCCTTATAAAACAAGTATATCGCAGACATGTTGCGTTTCTCCACTAGAACCGCACTCTAATCCTATATGTGATCATATACTATACGTTAAAATGATTAACTATCCCTTATACCAAAAAGGGGAGCGCTTTCGTAGCTGAAAGCTGGTTGTGTAGTGCTAGCTTCGTGCATTCAAATACGTATTCACTCAAAACTTTTCGTTATAACTTTGTACGACTATGGCATGCGGTTACGACGAGGATCATACGGAATGGAAGCAGCGTTGTCCGTTTACTTCCATCCAAGCTAGTAATCTGTCTCCCTGATCTTGTACGTAACAAAGTGTCGACGCTGGGTGAAGGAGTAAACGATGCAGTTTTTCGTCTTGTTCTTGGGTAGACATAAGTCTATCGCACAAACCAGCCGGGCTTCGATATCGATCGTTGGCGATTGCGAGGCAAGTAAGGAGCTCACTACCTTCACCGAATATCACAACCTCAACCGCACTGTCGACATAGTCGTACAGGTCATACAACAAATGATTCCCGTTATGTGTAAGCTAAACAGACAACGACCATTCTAACAAGGGTCATATTAGCTGGAGTCAGAGTTATAGATATTATCACACACATAATAAACGTGTGTGTAATGGGGATTATACAGATGTTTATTGCGTCTGCTAATAAGGAAAAGGAACAAGTGCTAATAGTAGAAATAGATA